AGATGCTGGTAGGCAGATTTTTTTTTTTTTTTTACATTTCGACAACAATAGGATACAGATACGAAAGTGGTATCGATCTTGACATCTAACTGTAGGCAAAAAAGTGAATTGGCATATTTCCCAAAATGTCAAACTATTTATTTCACAGAATTGCCAGTTACTTTGGTTCCGTGTGTTTTTTTTCTTTTCTCTCCTAACTTTATTTATTTCTTCGCAGACAATCATGTGGATGCAGCCACCAAAAGCAGGACCAGCGAGGACATCCTCAGATCCTCCAGACTGTCCACCTACTCACCTGAGCCATATACCCAGTCAGAGTCTGACTACTACCCATACACCAGCTCCCCCAAGGGTAGGAAGTTTTTGAATGGCAAGCTGCATTTTGTTTTTATTCGCTGCTGGGCCAAGCACAGACATATAAGTACAGTTCCTGTACTTGTAACTCTGTGTTGTCATATTTATTCACTCTATTAATGTGTTCCACTCTCAGCTCTATATTCCTACAAGGGAATCTCTTTTATCTGTTTCCTCTCTCAGCCTATCGGATGCCGAGAAGACGCTTCTCAACAGGAGGAGATGAAGAGAGTTGGAGTCACAGTCTTCAAAGAGTAAGAGCTTCATTATTTTCTTTCTCTCTTTCTTCAACATCTGGTTGAAGAAAGTCACCTCCTCAGAAACAACCATAAATAATGCACTCCTTATGGTATGGTACTTTCCCCATTTTCCATTCACTGTACATTAAATTAGCAGTTTTCCCTTGTGTCTCTTTCTTTTTGCCTCCCCCTTCTGCCTCTTTCCTCGCTCCCTCTCAGATTGGGAGTGGCATTGGGAGGATGATCCTAAAGGAGGAGATGAAAGCCAGATCTGGTTCCTATGACAACGACCCCTGGGGCAGTGCGAGGAATTCTCGTAGTGGGAGCAAGGAAACACTCAACACTACAGGCTACGGCACCACGGTGTACAACAACACTGTCAACGGATGTAAGGATCCACCCTGCCCCCTTCGCAGCTCCCTCTTTGTCTCTTGTTCTTTCTGTTTGTGCAAGTTCATGAATGCCTGTACTGCTGACAGTATTCCTGTGTAGCCATTCCTTTCCAGTGTGATCATATATGTTGCCAAAAGATCTTTTTATGAGACTCAATATCTGCTGTCATTGGGGCTTGGGGTGAGGGAGGTGAAGTTGTGGATGCAGGTCAGAGAGGGTCATGGCTGCTGCAGGCAGGGTGTTTTATTGAGATGGAAAGATGTTGAGATAGCTGAACAGCTGCTGCCGAACCTGTGGAAGCACAGCAGCAGGAGCAGCTGTGGCCTGTCATTGTTGTATCTGATCACGCTGACTCTGAACATTTCAAGCTACCAAAAGTGTTCAACTAGGTGCAAATGTGCCAGATGTGATAAAGCCGGACCTGAAGCTACCAAAGTTGTTTCTATTTGGACCACGCTTCACTGGTTCACTGGACTGTTATTTTAGCCCCTGACAGTCAGACACCACCAGCCTGTCTTCATCACCATTCAGCAATTCCCTCTTCTTTACTCCATCTTCTTCACCAGCTCCTCTCTCCTAATATCGCTCTCCATATTCTACTCTGTTAACTCTCTATCTATCCTTCCATCTATATGTGTATCTCTCTCTCTCTCTCTCTCTCCCTCTCACAGCTGGTGTCCCATATCCTGGTTTATTTATGAGCAATAAGATCTCTCATTAAAACTATTTCTCTGATGGGAGGGGACACAACTGCATGGGACTCTGTTGTCTACAGTTGAAAGGCAACAAAGCTTTGTAACCACACAAGCTGTGTAGTGCGATGAGATGGTGCACTGTGTCTTTGTATGTTGTTTTCCTAATTTGTATTTCTCCCCTTGTTCCTTGAACCAGTCCTGGCTGGCCTCTTTCTGCCTTATTGCCCCTTTGATGTTTTGGGTTCCTCCCAGGGCTTGATGGGTACCCATCTTGCTCCTTTTCTGTTTTTGTTGTTTTTGTTATGCCTCAAACTAGAGAGACGGCTGTCAAATCTCCACAGAAATTTTGCCTTAATATTTTTTGGAAGAATTTAATCAGCATTTAGGTCAGGGCAGACCAAAAATGCTGCTGCATTTGTTTTCTTGTTGTAATAAGGAAGATGATCTCTTTATTTCACAGCTCCCAGATCTCAGTACAGCGCTGATAGTGGTGAGTTTATCATTTATGTTTCATGCATTTTCTGAAATGACTTTGTCTAAATGCAGACCACCTCCGTTCATGTTTCTGTTTTATTTAAATAGAAGTTGTTTTTATGTTTAGTTTTTGAACGGAGGTTGGCATTTCATCATAAATGATGTGTTTGTGCTGGATTCAATGACCTTACATCAACAAAGCTCCATTATTATGTGCACACATCTGGAACAGTTAGGAATTGTTTGGTTGGTCAGGAGCGCCATCTTCTGGCACTGATTTCAACTTGCCAAACTACATGAAAATAAGTGGTGATGTAAGAAACTGTTGTCTTGATTAAGGTACTATTATCTGTTGTTTTCTGTATTTTAGATTTTGTTTGTAAGTCCGCCTCGCTACCAGGATATGGACGCAACGGCATCCAGAGGGTAAGTGAACAAGACACAACAATCCACGATTGGGTGTATTTATTATACAGACTTGGGGCTTATATTCAGTTGGTCTCACATCTTTAAAATTGCATTTGTTATATGAAAATTACATCAACATCAAGGCACTAGAGTTGATTATTGTTAGGGCTGTTGTTATTCCAAATCTCATTCCATCTGTTTATATGTCTCCATTTAAAAAAATAATAATAATGTGCCAGTATCTGTATAAGTTGTCCTTCTTTACACCTGCAGCCTCAGAGTGCAGATTGCTACCAGTACCAGTATGACAGTGGCAGCGAGGTCAACTGGGGAAGCAAAGGTAATTTAAAACACCTATCCCTTATTAGATTGAAGCGATTAATTTAATGGGTTTTTTCTATTGTACTGACTTAAATTCTCCTTCTCTGTCCTCCCAGCAGAATACAAGGTAAGGTTTTAAAATAATCACTAGAAAAAATTAGTTCCAATATTGTAATTAGGTGTCTGAAATTTGGTAAAGCATGGCTGCCTCTCTCTCTCTAAAGATTTACCCCTATGAAGCGCTCATTGTCACCACCAGAGGTCGCAATAGGCTGCCCAAAGATGTAGACAGAGCCAGGCTGGAGGTAAGGTTATGCATGGGGTCATTAGGCTACCTGTGCAGGAAAGAAGTTGTCCCTGGTCCAGTTAAAAACTAGCGCCATAGACAAGATTTTAGAAATACAAAGATTATACCCACAGTAGAAGCCCACCCGCCTACAAGACTTCTGACAAGCCACCAATCAAACTCTGTTTCATATATAAAAATAAATATTTAATTCCCATCCCAATTTTAACTGTTAAATGATATCTTATAAAATTTGATCTAATATTGTGGTCTGGTACAGACTTTATTTCTATATTATTTATTTTGATACATTTCATTTTTGCCTAGAAGACTGACTTTGGTCTAAACATGTTAGTATCAGCCTTAGAAAACCCAACAAGTAAACTACTGTATGGGTGTAATTGTTTAATTTATGTGTGTGTTTTTGTCAGTATAACCTTGATGTCCTCAACTTCTGTTATGAATTGACACTTTATAAATAACATTTAATTGAAACTGAATGGCAACTAAGGCCTAGTTGAAAAGAATAGTAGTAGAGGAATGTGAGACGTCCTTGGAAAGTGTTAAAAAATGACAGGTACAATGTGATAACCTGGGTTGTCTTTTTGTCTTTCTTTGTGTTCTCAGCGTCACCTTTCCCCAGAGGAGTTTACCCAAGTGTTTGGCATGACCATGGAAGATTTTGACCGGCTGGCTCTGTGGAAGAGAAATGAGCTCAAGAAACAGGCCCGACTTTTTTAATAACATATGGACATCCTTTGATACTGGCATAAATAGAGTGAGATACTGGCTGTAGAAGGGGAAAGAAAGAGATAGGAAGACTTCTACTCAGTTTCACTGCCATGGCTGAGAACCTGTTCTAGATCTCCTCATACGACAAAAAAAATTCTGGTCACACCAGTGTGGACTGAGATACTGAGGGAAGGCCACAGAAACATTATGCACAGTTGGACTATTAAAACTGTTACATGGTTGCCAGTGCAACTGTGGCGTTATGATGGAGTGGTGTTTAAGCAATAGAGACTATAGTACAATAGTGTTGTGCTTTTCTTAAGCCTGAAGGATGAAGGACGGTGTTACTGCGCCCCTATAAGGCCACTTGTGGGGATGTCTGTGACCAGAGCCGCAGTACTAAAACATAAAGAGGAGAATTTTGGCTTTGCCTTATTTGTTATGCTCTATTAGTTATGAGTGTGCAGCACCAGCAATCTGAATGAGTAGAATGTAGATACAGTATATTATTTCTGACACTTTATCAGTTTGAATGATTAGATGAGGAGAATGAGTGAGTAAGCATACAGCATCACCTAGCTTTGGTTTATAATAGGGATGCGTTTTGTTCACCCGTTTCCCTGCGTTTGCTCTTTCACATTTAAATGCTGTGTCCCTCTGGTTTACACTAATTGATATAGAATGAGACAAGAAACAATCTGAGCTGGACGCAGCTTTTCAAGTCAATTGATGTGTGAGAAAATGAAAACCAAAGTGAGAATGCAAATATACAGATTAGCAGATCACTTTCATTTAATGTTCTGGTTAAATAGTTCAAGGTCACTGTGCAGCTGTATGGTAACCTAAAAGAATGTGCAATCCAGTAGATTAAATACATAAGTAAACACAAATTCAGTCCTCCTGCTCCATGTTTTCCAGCTCATTGCAATAGAATAATGACTAAATGTTTTAGAATGAGGACTGTAGTAGTCCATACATTCACATTCACTGTTATTTATATTACTTTTAGAATGATAATCCAATAATTTTGTAGCTACAGAGATTATATTCATTCACAATGAAATGCTCTGCAAGGTATTTAACACACTGACAAAGATCCAGGGTTGTTGAAGACTTTACTTCCTTTGAATACTGTTATTTTTGATTTTGTCACTGAAAATTAAACTTTAATCAAATTCTGTCTCTTCTTTTTTATTTGTAGCTGGGAACCATCCACTTGTATTTTTGTAAAGGAATTGTTTGACATTTTTGGAATTACTAGAGGGCAGACAGGGGAAAAACAGGGATTTGGACCCAGACGCAGGAACACCAAGCCAGCAAGTTCAGTTTTCTTATTTTTACTGAAAGAAACAAAAGGTACATTCTCATGGTGAGGTGATGTCCAACATTCCATGTGGCAAATCCAGAACAGAAGTAAAATAAAAACAGGTAGTACATTCAGGTAGTTATTCCAAAGTCCACACTAGACACCAAACAAAGACGGACTGACAAAGGACCAGGGAAGCACACGGACTACACACACACACACACACACACACACACACACACACACACACACGCAGGAAGTAAAGTAAAACAAAACAGAAGGGGAAGACACAAAATAAACAGAAGTCCAAACCAAACCATGACAGTACCTTGCCCCCATCAAGGAATGGCTCCCAGGCCGGCAACGTGACTGAAAACCAGGACCAGGAGTCTGAGTCAAAGAACAGAACAGAACAAGAGGGAGGGCAGCCAGGAGGCAGGATTGCTGGACTGGAGGCCAGTGACAGAGCAGCTGGGCTGGTTAGCTGGTATCTGGAGTCAGAGCTGAAGGCCGGCGACAGGGCAACAGGATTGGAGATTGGCTACAACAGGGAGTTAGGCAGGAGGGAGTAGGCATGGCTGCAGTTCTCGCTCAGGGACGTGGGGTTGCTTAAACTCAGTAGAGACAGGAAGTAGCAGTAGCTCAACAAAGTCAGGGTGTTGCTGCAGCCCAGCAGGTGTCTGAGAACCAGACGAAACTGGTGGCAATCCAGTGGAACAGAGCAACTGAGTCTCTCGCTTGCTAATCAGCTGAGTCTATGTGAAGCTGGATGGAGAAGTCTCTGAAGAGCAGATCAGCTGACTCTCTGGAACACAGGGCAACTGAATTACTGTGAAGCTGTTCAGATGGCCAGTTTAGTCTCTGGGAGGCTGAATAGCATAATCTCTGAGGCGCTGGTCACCTGAGTCTCTGTGGAGCTGGCCATCAATGTTTCTGGGAATCTGGCTAGCACAGTTTCTGGAGCGCTGGCCAGCTGAAGCAGACTGATAGTCTGCTGGGTCCATCATGGTCAGTCCTCACTGTCATGTGTGCAGACACGGGAAAAACAGGGATTTGGACCCAGATGCAGAAACATTAGGTAGAGCAAGTTCGTTTTCTTAATTTAATTGAAAGAAACACAAAGGTACAATCTTACAGTGAGGTGGTAGGTTCACATGTCCAACAATCCAAGTGGCAAGTCCAGAACAGAAATGAAATACATCCAACAGTGCACAGGTAATTATTCCAAGTACATAAACAAAAGAAAGCAATCCAGGGATGGTAGACAGGCAAGATCAAAGATACAAAATACACAGCAAACAAACATGCAAGTGAGCTGGCAGGGACACTAGACACTAAATGAAGACGGACCAGGGCAGCGCACGGAATACGCACACACACACACACAAGATGGCAGGATCATTACACACAGGTGAAACACTTTAGGCATAAATATCAACATCCATCCATCGTCAACTGCTTATCCTGCGTACGGGGTCACGGGGGGCTGGAGCCAATCCCAGCTGGCATCGGGCGAAAGGCAGGGTACACCCTGGACAGTAAATATCAACATATAATGCTGTAAATAAAAATGTGAAAAGAAAAAATAAATTAATTAAATAAATCTTTTTAAAGTGAGTGAATAAAATTGTAACCCACACCCTTAAGTTGGGGAGTGCCAGTGCGCATGTGTGGTGTACCATATTTGGGAGACACTAAGCCTCCGTTTAGCTGTAAATGTAACGTGTAAGTCATTGAGAGACTGCAGCTCTCTAGCTTCGCAAGAATAAAGCGGAGCTACCATGTGTGCTCTGCTTGACGCAGTTGCATAATCCCTGTAAAACATTGCTTTTACAGTTTGTTGTTTTTATATGAGTTAAAGATTCAGTTAAAGTTTTAGTGCCATCTGCTGGTAGGGTTTGCAGATTGCAACTAATAGCTCGATTACCGCTCACCCCTCCGTTTGTCCACAATTTACTTCTGTTATTACTTCTAACACACCAGAGGACTAATACTACTACTGCTTCTTCTTCTTGTACGTATTTAATGTAGTGAAGAAACACACTCTATAGAGCAGTTTGTCCGTTTGGGCTACTGTAGAATCGTGGCGGCGCAACATGCTGACTTCCATTCTAATGGTGCTTTCAGACCAAAAGTGAAGTGACCGTCGGGGTGCGTTTACATACAAAGTCAATGCAAAGCCACGATTCTCTGTTGGGCGGCACGAAGCGATGCGAAGGGGGCGGTGCTGGCGAGGCGGAGGCGACGCGAAGGCTTGCGTGGGAGCTGAATATTTTCAACTGAAGCGAGAAAGTCGCACATGTCGTTTTGTGTGAAAACCGTTCAACGAACTGCATCTCTCATCTCGCACAATATACGTCACCAACATGTTAGCGCGGTAATGCTAGTTAACATTCATTGCTTGGTTGCTATTAGCTGGATTACTTAGCTGTGTTCCACGCAGAAATATATCTCACCTGATGTGATTCATCCAACGACTCTTAGTCCTTTTATCACATCATCCTCTCATGTAAGTTTTTTGACCTTAGCTTCAGAAACGTTAGCTTCAGAAACGTTAGCTTCAGTCATTGAGAGAGACAGTTACGATGTCACACACATGTCTTTTGGGTTTGTGGTCTTTGTAATGTATTTTTAAAGTCTTATACCTAAACTGTTTTACATCAAACTGCGGCTTGAATTTAAAATTTTTCTTTGAAATTCACAAACATCATATGTGTAATTCAAACGGGATCACAATATTTGTTGTCCCTCGCCATTTACTGCTGGAAATATTTTTCCCGAAATAAGTGCGGTGTGTAGATAGAATTGGCTTGGTTCAAAGGTAATAGAAACAAAACAGTTTATTATGTTAGGTCTTTTTACACCACTGAAAACATAGTTATGTATATTATATCGATTTCGGTCTATAGATCCTCCTAAATATTACACACTGGACCTTTAAACACACTAGATACAAAGTGTTAATTACTATTAGCTTCTCGGCAAGAAAGCGAATAAGACTACTCCAAACATGTAAAACTATTAGAAATCATTATACCTGTTCAAAGCTGTTAAAGGCAGTTCATAACTGAAGCTGACGCTAGGACCCAGCAGAGAAGCAGCCTGACTCAAGCTCCCGACCAGCGGACCTGTAAAGTAGCGACTGTATCTGTCAGCAGTGGCTTCACACGCCTGCACACCATAGCTTCACACACTCACTCACTCACACACTCACTCATGGGCCTGCAATAAACTTCAGCAGTTCTCACCGGGACAGCATCACCAGCGGAATGGACACAAAAGCCACCAAATGTAAGTTTACTTTTCAACCTGAAACAGGGCTGCAAAAGAGATTGGCTGGTATGATGAGTGCTGGTTATTCTGCGACTCTTTGTGCAGTTTGCTAAGGTGGATTTAGATATGCTTGTTTGTTTAATGTGTTAATTGGTCATTTTTCAACCCTTTCAGACACCCACTGTGTGTGTTTCCTTCTTCTCACACCTCTGACTTCAGCACCCCCAGGCTCCCTATACTTCACTGGTTTAACATTATTGTTTTGAATTTATACTTTATCATACAGCTTTTTCTGCCCTAGTTGCACATAATTTTCTCAAAATTTATATTATCTCCATGTGACCCTAACAACCAGGAATCTATTGTCTGAGAACACCCATGAAGGTGTGCAATGGACACTTCCCCTCCTGTAATACATCTAAGAAGACAGAATGGTAGTGCACTGAAAATATAAATAAGGTCTCTCTGGTCTCTCCCCAGCTGCTTGAAGAGGCAGAAAACCAAGTGCTTGTCTAAAGTTTGATTGTTGTTATAGAAAGTGAATCTCACTCATCCTGAGTCAAGTCAAATATCTGGATGTGGAGATTAGACGGACATTGTTTGATATTGGACACCACCAGCAAAGAATTCCTTCTGCTCTGGAGTGCCACAGTGCTTTTGTGTTGAAATAGTTAGAAATACAAAATGTGTTTCCGCCCCATGTGTTCTTTTTTTTTGGGAGGGGTGCAGTGGCCCCCCTGCACAGTATAACATTTTCCCACATTGTAACTGAAAACAAATACACTTGCCCTCCTTGTGGGCTTTGGCATGAGGTTAGAAGTAACAGCATTCACAGGGCGAGGTCACCACCAAATAAAAACTTCATATAAGTTGTAACTTCAAATATAAATTTCAGTTTATAGTTGATGTAAATGTGTTTGAACTGATGTTGCCGTATCATGGTACTGCTTTTAGAGCTGTAGAGTCTTAAGCACTTTTCATAGACTTGTTGCCAGCAGGTGATAGTGATTAAGAACTTAATGGACATTTTTACTTAACTGACCAGAGGTAAAAGGAAATGGTACAATCTGCATACATGGTACTTTATTTTATTCCCAGCATCACAGCCACTTTTACCCATAAAAACAACAACCTTTTTTTCTGCCTTTCCCTTCCATGATTTACTTCGTTTCCATCCTTCCTCACCTTGTCATTGTGTGTGGATTATGTGGATGTTACCAGTGAGTTTGGTGTGTACACAAAGGATCTAAAGTAGGAGGTGTCTCTCTCAACCCACGACTTTCTATCTGTGCTTTGTGTTTGTGTAAATGCCACAGGAAAAAACACACGGTGACGGCTAGTGATCCCCAGGGAGCACCCTACTGTTTATATGGTGTTTGTATCCTCTGATTGGCTGCTGCTGAATTACTTTTCCTCAATTTGTCTTAAATAAGGCTACAAGTAATGACAATCTATCAATTCATTGTTACGTTTGTGTCAATAAAGACAAATGCTCTTCACAAGCTAAGTGATTCCAAAGGGGCACCTTCCAATCATTTATTTTCTCTGAACAATTGAAAAATCCCAAAATGATTCAGTTTATAATAATTTGACATAGAGAAATATCTCATATTTGAGGAGCTCGAAATAACACGTTTTAATTCGATATATTACATTATAAGTAATTAATGAATTATTAAAGTCGTATTAGTAATAATTAGTAGTGCAGTACTGAACTGCTAAATTGCTGGTGCTAAATTACCTGGTGTTTAGGACAGTAGAAGCAATCTGTAAAGATAATCTTAGACACATATTATCACCATTCAACCACATTGATACGGTAAACTTATTGGCAAACTGCCTCTGCCGTGTCCACCTGATGAATGTCATGCTCCTTTTAGCTCTGTTTTGCTATCCACCAACTCCCATGGGAAATATCAGCTTTGTCACCAGGCAGGTAGCGTACAGTGGGCATGTTACAGCTTTTTTGCTGAAAGCAGATGTCTGCTGCTGTTGGAAATGAAGTTGATTAGAGAGAGAGTGAACCAAAACAGTGAAGTTGTGGACCATAAAATCAAAACAATGAGCTAGAAGAAGCTCCCAGAGCTGTGGATTATTCATTACAGGTGAACCCCTCCACATCACAGGTCATGGGTAATTTTAGCCATTATTGATATAAATAGAATGATTAGTGCAGTTTTATTCATCAGTTGATCAACTAATTGTCTCAAAGGTTGCTTTTGGTAAACATTTGACCATCAAAGCTTGCTGTGTAGAGTTCATGAGTTCAAATATCAAGCTTGGTAAAGATGGTAATGAGAGGCAGGTATGATCTTGAATGGTGGGAGCTCCGTTACATGCTCTATCCAAGCCAGCTGGAGCAGCAGTGGAACAAAGGTTCGGTTTCCACAGTCGCCTCAGTGTGCACTGTGAGAAGCAGAGCATCAGGTGGGTGTGAGAGGGGAGAGGCTGTCCCACCAGAGATGCATTTCAGTGGTGGGATTGCCTGTGATTTAGTCAAGCAGATATGATGAATGGTGGCTATTGTCAGGATGTTTTGGAGCATATGGACGAACTTGTGGGCCGAAACCTTGATCTGCCATGGACTCTACGATGATGCATAAATGTAACATACTGTTCATGTAAGCACGAATCTGCTGCATGCGCATGAAATCCCTACTCCAGCCATGTGTTTCCCTCTAATGAGATGGTTAGAGTGCCCCGCATATCCACATTCCTCTGAGAAATGTATGAAAAGAGAACCTGTGTGTTTGGGAGTGTGAATGTGCCTTGTCTTAGAATCAGATTTGTTCCCCTCCAATATGTTATTCACATACAAAATAACCAATGGCTCTCAGTAACAATTTATTTTTTTCTGACACCAATCTCAGTCTTCAGGCTTGTGGAGAATGTCTTTGAGAGTAAACAAGGATTTGAATTGTGAAAAATTGACTTAAAACATGGTTTCAGTGGGTATGGGTTAGCAGGGGAAAAGAGCATAATTAAAAGGCAGCTTGCTGTCGTCATCTAGCCAGTGGTCAGTGACCTCACTGTGTGCATTTATGCCGTGTTTCTCATTACGTATGCTATAAAATGCATTTTTACATAGCAAAAGCAGAGTTTGTGGAAGTAACTTAACCCCAGGGTTCATATCATTCTTAAAATACTTTTCCAATATTTTACAATCTGGATCTTACAGTCATACTTTTAGCTAATTTAACTAAAATGTAATGCTGTCATAGTGCAGGCTTTGGACGCCAGTGGTCAGTTGGAAGCAGCTTTCCAGTAGAGTCCAATGGGGCCAAGGAAACAGGAGCCTTCACAGCAATAAAAAACTCATCCTGTTGTTTAGTTTGATGCCGACCCTACTTTTCATTCTGTTTGACTTCTCAGTTTCAGACCCCTCTGTAAACCTGTAGGTTCAATCGGGAAGTAGCTTTACAAAACAAAAGACAGCCATTGCAGATTGTTTGGGTAACAAATTTCACAGTGTTCACCTTCATTTAAACATCCAAATAACACCTTTTGATTGGACTATGATTTGACTGTTAAATAGCTGTCTGGATTCCTTGGCCTTACTAGACTGTTGTGAAGCTTTTTCCAGTGGAGCGGTCCTTTTTATTCTCTCTACAGTGCTTGGTAAATGCAGTGTTATTCAAACCAACTGGAACACTATAATAATAAAATATATAAGGATCTCCCTTACATCTAAATTTTATTTATACAATATACATGTTCAATACGTTCTGTTTTTTAGTTTGCTCTGTCAGACATCAGTCAGTAGATATGTTGATGCTCACACTTACTGTACATTATATTATATACACAATGACATATAGCCTACAGTATATGCCCCATCATGCAAGGGCTGTAAATAATGGTTAATTGTGGGCTAGCCCTATAAAAACTCCCCTCTTTAACCCTTTGAGATGAGGAGATCACTGTGATTCATATGGCTGAGATATGTGCAGTGTATTCGTGTGTCTGTGCACGTGTGGGCGTGCAGACGTGTATAGGCAATGGTCATTCCCTGCACAGCTGTGTTACCATAGTGAAATAATGCACAACATTTCCCCAGTTGCAGAGGGTGAAAAGTGATTCTGCCTGGGGTGTGCATGCATACGGGTACAAGCAATATACTCACAGGGACATTTCAGATTTATTAGAGAGGGTTGGCAGTTATAATAATGCTGGCCTAGCCTGTTATCATTTTGACTATATGTTGCTTGACAACAGCTATTATTCAGCACTGAAATATGATTCTTATTAATATGCACGTATAGACTTTGTAATATTTTAGGAATAAATCCAGGTTAGCAGTTCACTGTGTACGGATAGCACTGACAAAATGTATACCACATTTTCCAAGCTAGGATTCACATGTTAAACCTTAAATATGAAATGCTTTTCTGTGTGGCCTAATTCATGCTACATTCATCCTGAAGCACATACACTAACAATAGGCATTTAATGGTGATTTGAAAATTATTGTAACTGCTGTTTAGTCTTCTGATAAGTATATAAAGATATACTGTACATAAATGTTTATTTCTTAAAGACTACCTTTACACAATAAACTACAGAAATGTTACATTTACAAAATTAAACTACTCAACATAATACAAGGAGAATGCAAGGCTCCTCAGATCATCCTCATGAAGGACATATGCTCTACATGATGGTTAGACTCACACAACAGCAAGAAGACACTTAGAGAGTGTCCTAGTTTTCTGGTGAACAACGGAAAACAGCTCCGCTCCAGTCAAAATCCCATTAAAACGAAAAAATCCCAAATGGAGACAAAGCAGCTCCTTTTCCCTTTTTGTGAATGTGTGACTGCGAAATCCCCGGTTGTGCGTGTGTGTGTGTGTGTGTGTGTGTGTGTGTGTGTTTAGGTGGGTGCGCGCAGATGTGTTTGCAGGCATGCATGTTCTGTGTATATTACCCTTGTCTGTGCAACATCAGTAAAGCAGTGCTTCCACTTGCAGAATAGCATCTTTCTCAGAATGTGAATACTATTCTGTGGGGGAGACATAGCA